TCCTCCGGGAGCTGGCGCTCCTCCCACGCCCCTCCAGGCTCAGGCTGAGGAGCCATCTCATTGCCGCCGCCGCCCTCGCCCTCTCCGGAGACCAGGCGAAGGGCCAGGGTTTGGGTAGGAAAGGGTTCCCTCCCGCCTGCCTCCCGGCGACTCCTGGCCTCCGCCCCGAGGAGGGAGGCTCCCATATGTGAGTCCACGCTCCGGGCCGTAGGGGAGACAGGCCGAGGCAATGGCATGCCTTGTTTGCTGTGAAGGGCTAGTTGGTGGCAGAAGAGGGAGAAGAGGCCGGTTCCCTTTTCCTTGACGGGAGCCGGGGCTGGACCCTAGAGCTCTGGTCGCCAACCGGTGGTCCGTGAGGCCCGAAAGGTGGGCCGCCGCTGCCCTAGAGCGAGGGCAGGGCTCGGGTTCTAAGGATTAGAGAACAGAGGTCACTGTGGAGCCCTCCCCCCCAAGGGAGGCTGGGGTGCGGGGTAGTGAGATGAGTTGCGGGGAGCCTCCCTGAGTGGGAGCAAGATGAAAGGGGGGGACTCAGTCAGGAGACGGGCCAGGCACCCTCCTGCTGTGAGGGGATGGATGCCTCCCCAGAAGGTCAGCAAGGCTCCGGCACAGGCCAGACGTTCCTGCCACCCCTCGGTAGTGAAGGTCCATTAACACGTGTCTGCAGAAGCATCTTGTGACCATATGTCTGTCAGGCTGACTTGGACCAGGATGTGTCCTCCAACTCCAGTCGCAGGTGGGGGCAGCAGGAGGAGGAGGAGGGAGGGAGGAGGGAGAGCAGGGATGTGAAATGTCTACTGAGAAGTGGGAGACGAGTGGAGGGCCCTTACCTACATCCGGTCCCTACTCGGGGGAGAGATGAAGCAGGAAATCCCAAACCACCTGTTTGCTAATCTCCTTGCTCCGAACCTAGTGTTGTATTCCCCTGGGTTCCCCCCACCTCGGGCCTCAGGGCCACAGCCGATGCTGGAGAGACTCCCTGCTTTCTCACACCTGAGTCCCTCTTTTCTAAAAAGAATTTCAGTCCTGGCCAGTTTGGCTCAGTGGTTTGAGCATTGGCCTGCGGACTGAAGGGTCCCGGGTTTGATTCCGATCAAGGGCACATGCATGGGTCTCAGGCTCTATCCCCACTAGGAGGTGTGCCAGAGGCAGCCGATCCATGATTCTCTTTCATCAGTGATGTTTCTCTCTCCCTCTCCCTTCCTCTCTGAAATCAATAAAAAAATATTTTAAAAAAAATTTCAATTACAGCTGAAATTCAATATTATGTAATTTCCAGGTGTATAGCACAGCGGTTAGATGTGTACCCTGCAAAGATGCTATTTCTAGTATCTACCGGACACATGCAGTTATTACAACATTGTTGCCTGTATTCCCTATGTTGTACTTTACATCCCTGTGGCTATTTTTTTATATCCCTTCACTTTTTCCCCCTCCCCTAACCCCCTCTCACCTGGTGACCATTAATTTGTTGCCTGTATCTATGGTTTTCTGTTTGTTTATTTTCTTGTTAGATTCCACATATAAGTGAAATCATCACACCTGAACCTCTTAATCCCTCCTTTTCTCTCTAGGGCAGTGGTTCTCAACCTTGGCTGCACATTAGAATCACCTGGGAATCTTTTTAAAATCCTGATTTCTGGGCCTCATCCTCCGGAAATTCTGTTTCTTTGTTATGGGGTGAGGCCACAACATTAGTAACAAAGAAACAGAATTTCCGGAGGATGAGGCCCAGAAATCAGGATTTTAAAAAGATTCCCAGGTGATTCTAATGTGCAGCCAAGGTTGAGAACCACTGTGGTACAGCATCTATCTCTCTGCCCCTCCCCCCTTTGACCCCCGTTGAGATGGACTCGGGGGTCCAGCCATTGCCGATCCGGATTTGTGGCCCCTGGTTTGTGGCTCTGGGTGGCTGTCCCTGTAGTTTTGTCCAGGCACCGGCAGAGAGCACGGCCTCTGCTCAGCTCTCACGGGGGCCATGCTGGTCCTGGACTCTGCCACCTGTGTACATTCACAGCCGTCCTTGGCCTCTCCCAGCCCAGCTCCTGTCTTCACTCACAGGTTGTCATTTCAGAGGGAGAGCCAGAGGCAGGGAGGGCGTTTCCAGGGCTTGTCATTCGAGGAAGGCAGCGAAGGCTGCCCCCGATCATGGTCTCGTTTCCTCTTCCCACTTTCCACCAGTCTTGTCTGGTTTCTCCCTGACCCGTCCACCAGATGTTTCCTGGGTGTCTGCTGTGTCCCAGGCATTGTCCCAATCTGAGTGTATCAGTGAACAAAACACACAGCAGTCCTTGCTCTCATGAGCTCTGTCCAACCTCATGCTCATGTGACCTCCATGCTCGGAGTGTCTGACCTGCTTGCACGGGAAGTCGGGTTGCTGGGCTCCATGGCGGGGTCCTTGCTGCCTCCCTTGGGGGAGTTGGGCATTCTGGGATGGTTAGGGGGTTTTCTGTCCTAATCTGGGGCCACCACAGGCTAGAAGGCCAAGGCCTATCTGAGGTCTCTGTGCCCTTGGAGGGCCCAGGCAGGAGGGAAGGGAAGGAGGACACCCCCTGGCGCACTGGCCCTGGGGCTGGCGCCTGCCTCTGATCCCGCCTCTGTCCTCAGGGCATCCTGCTGAAGCGGAGCGGCAAGTCCCTGAACAAGGAGTGGAAGAAGAAGTACGTGACGCTCTGTGACAACGGGCTGCTCACCTACCACCCCAGCCTGCATGTGAGTCCGGGGGCGGGCAGAGGGACGGTGCTGACTCTGGGACCTTAGTGAGTTCGAGTGGATTCTTGCTTGAGTTGAAGGACTTCACTTTGGTGGCTTGGGAACTGCACAGACCCCAAAACCCAGGCCCAGGCCACACGCTTACACTGAAGCTCTGGGTTGTGGCTGAGCCTGTTGGAGAAAACTCCTCTGGGATGGTCAGCCAGGCTAGGCTGGTGTGGGCAGTCAGGTTTTATAGCTGACATTCTAGTTGTTTGAAGAGCTGATTTGGCCCCTTTACACAGAATTGCTAAAGTTGGGGGTGCCCATGTTGCCAGCCAGGTGTCTTTAGGGAGCCACACCAGTGGGGGCGCCCTGGGCCTGGGATGCTGGAGCTAGAGGGCAGTGAAACCGGGGCTACGGAGAATGGCGTTGGGACTTGGACAGGTCCTGGGAAGAGGAGAGTGGGGTCTGGAGGGTGTGTGGCCTGTGGCCGGGGCTTGCAATGATTGTAGATTGTGGCTCCCCCACCCTTCCTTCTTCCCCCTCCCCTCACTGCGTGGCTCCAGCACACAGCTGTCACCAGAATCCATCTCTGTCACCTCCCCACTGTGGGGCTAATGAGTTCTCCTGTGAAGCCCCTCAAGCACAGCATGTGGGCCAGCCCCACCCCCGGCCCAGAGGCCCAGGGCCTGCCTCAGAGGGTCCCTCTCCTGCCTTTGATTCTGCACAGGCATCGGGGAGGCCCAGCCCAGAGGTGCTGGTGGTAACCGGGTCCTGGGAGCACCACCCAGACAGCTGTGCTGAGAGCACGTGGAGGAGGCCTGGCTCTGGGAGAACCAGCAGGCAGTCCCTTCCCAGGGCGGCCAGAGCCCAGGGTGGCCCCTATTTGATCTCCTCTTGTCCCAGGGGACAGCACTAGTTGGACTGTTCGCTCCTGGTCTCCCTGATTCCACAGGTTGGGAGCTGGTGCTGGGGTACCTGGCGATTGGAGGAGGGGCCACACTCGGGTGACCTTGGGTATTTAGTACGAAGGCTCCCCAGCGCTGCCTCTCTCCCACTCTGGCCTCCTCCTCACACTCAGCCCTGGTCCCGCTGCTGAGCTGGTGACACCATGAGAGGCAGCAGGGTTACTAGGAAAGGCACCGACACCGAGGCACAGGGCTCTCAGGAAGTCAAGGGGCAGCTTCGGGTGCAGAGTCTCTAAGAGGAGCCCAGGGGCTGCCATGCCCGTGCCCAGGCCTGCGCTGAGCCCACAGCGCCGCCTCTTAGCTTCCTCTACCCAAGGCAGCTTTGCTCTTACCTGTTCTTCTGCTTTGTGCTGCCTTGGCTGGGTGCTGTGTTCTGTCCCCTGTGCTTGTCCCCAGGCCTCAGAATGTGGAGGAAGAAACCCAGCGTGAGGGGCGGGTGGAGGAGGGGTCTTGACACAGAGGAGAGGTTGGGAGTGGTGCTGTGTTTGGCTTGGGTTTGGGTTTGGGTTTGGGGAGGGTGGGTGAAGGCCAAGGCTCAGTGGGCTCTGTTGGATTATCAAAGTCACCCAGCCAGTGGCTGAGCTAAGACGTGGACACGTGACTTGGACTCTACGCACTCCCCAGATTCTTTTGCACGTGCCAAGAGCACCTCCCTCAGGGCCAGCTGAGAAAGTCCCGGAAAGTGAGCGTCAGGGTACATGTTGCCCAGACTTACTGTCACACAAGGAGGTTGTCCAGGCTGTGTCAGCCCCTCGGAGCCCTATCCAGCGCCATGCTCGCTGAACTGTGTGTAGCTTAGTGTGTTAGGGCCTGGGACAGGATCGCAGGAGCTCTCAGGCTTGTCCTTGCTTTCTTGCCACATGAGCCTAAGAGGCAGGTGGCTCTGCTGGCCCAGCACACCAGGCCTCAGCCAGGGCTGCTCTTGCTCTCCCAGCCGCAGGACTACGTTGAATGGACAGCTCTTGGAGAGCCTGGGCTTTGGCTCTGGGGTCAAAGTGCATGTCCTTCCCCCACACTGGATGCCAGGAGGAACTGGCACATGCAGATGGTGGCAGCATGCCCCGCAGGTGCTTCTTGTCTCATTCAGAAGAATGAATCAGATCCAGAACATGGTAATGGTGGAAGGCCGGGTGCGGTTCCATGAATGGGGCCTGAGTTTGCTGCTAGCAGAGGCTGCTTGGGCAGCCCCTCCTCTTCTTGACCTCCTTCCTTGATTGTCACTAGATTCGTGTTGCGGGTTTACCTGCCTCCATCTCCCCTTTTCCATCTTTTCCAACCTGAGCAAGCTTCCTAGTTGCCAGCAGCGAGCAGGCACCCTGCCTCCCTGTGAGCGGCCCTGCGAGAGCGCCGTGCAGGGGAAGGACCCTTGGGAACTCCAGCCCTGCTCACGAGTACCCTCGGCCTAGCCAGCTGCCCTCCAGGGCGGCTCTTACCTGAAACCCCAGGGCAGCCAGGCTGGATACTCACCTGCCCACGGAGGCCAGTTGGGCTGGATGGGCTGGATGTGCTGGATGGGCGTGCAGAGGAAGGGCTGGTGGGCAAGCCTCGGACCTCGCGCCCGATCCTCGCCTGGCCCAAGAGAGCCGCCACAGCCTCCCCCATTTTGCATCCAGCGGAGCCATTCACACAATCACCTTCTGTTAATTCTATCTGCAACATCAATTAAATTGTTTGTAGAAACTAATTGAATGTGGCTTAATCACACATCTTAATAGCTTTCCACGCTCTGAACTCGTTGTTAATTCCAGTAATAAAACGAGATGAGAACGCTGGCTGGGTAATTAGTGAGGAGGCTGGGGAAGAAATTGCTGTTTGATGGTGGGTAATAAAGGCAGCCGTGGTGACCGCTCTCCTGAGCAGCCGCCGCCGCCGCCACAGCGCTCCCCGTTCTGCTGACGGAGGGAAACGCGGCTGCTCGCCCTGACGCTCTGTCCCTGCTGCTGCTCTTGCCACTCTCCTCGGGCTGGGCTCCCTCTCCCAGGGGTGCGGCCCTGGCAGCTAGCCTGGCACCGGGCACAGAGCAGAGCCTCGCCTGCGAGGTCAGAGATGCCGACCTGGCTAGCCCTCTCCCCTCCTGTCAGGGTCTGGCTCCTTGGCCTCGAACAGAGTCCTCCGAGCAGCTCTTGTTGGCGCAGGGTCAGCTTTGTCATGTCCCAGCCCGGCCTCCCAGGGCTGTCATGGGGCCTGAAAACTGTTGCAGCGGCTGTGGCCTGCTTGTGAACTAGAGCAGCCCAGCCCCTCCCCGAGAGAGGGACTGCAGCTGTGCTCCGGCCCCGCCAGCTGTTGACAGTTGTCTGGAGCAGTCTATCCACGATGTGGTTGAGTGCAGGGACCCAGGATGAGCATGTGCAGGGACTCAGGATCGGTATATGCAGAAGCCAAGTCAGTGGATGCTGGGGCTTGGCGTAGGGAGGGCCAAGACAGTGAAGTCGCACGTGGATGCTGGGCTGAAGCAGGACAAGTGGCGGCTGAGTTGGCTGGAGAAGAGACAGAGTGGGCAGAGGGGCGCCTGGGTTTGTTTCCTTCCCAGCCACTGAGGCTCAGTGCTCGGGACAGAGGCCTGGCAGCACTTGGCAGAGTCGGGGGCCAGCGTGTCAAAGGCTGTTCCCGTGGGCGGAGACTGCTCACTGATGTCGCAGTGACATCGTTCAGTGGTTCTGAGAGCAGCATGTGCCTGAGACCGGGCACTTGGCCCCATCCCTCGGAGAGGACGAGGTGGTGGCGGGAGGCCATGGGCACAGCCCAGTGCTGCAGGGAGGGAGCCCCTCCTTGGACACACACTCTGGAAGCTGTGCCTCCCCTGGCTGGCCACGCCCCTCGGTCCTTCCGAAGGGCCCTCTGCCTCTGAGGGTTCTCAGAGCCGCTTGGAAAATAAAAGGTGACCACAGCCCTGGCCAGGCCTCCCCATGGTCTTCCCACCCTGCAGTGCCGTCCAGCCTAATGACATGTGCGGGGGAGGCTGGCGTTGGTGCTGTTTCCTTGTTCTCGCTCCTCTTCCTAACTGGTCCCTTCCACATGGGGCCAGGTGACCCCTTCCCACTTGATGTCCTCTAGGTCGTTCCCAGAATGATGGCAGCCCTGCTTCCCAGAGGCAACACTTCCATCTGCTTTTTTAAGCAGAGGGGACTGTCGCTCTTCCCGGAAGCTAAAAAGTGAGACGGTAGGAGAGAATGCCAGGGTACCAAGAAGTCTGATGCCCCAACGTGGGTACAGATAGGGCTGGGCCTGTGAAGGCTGCGTCTGAGATGGCGCTGCGCTGCTCAGGGACGCTCTCTGGATGCAAAATGTCCCAGAGGTGCTCCTGAGGGAAGAGGAGTTGATTCCAAGTCTAATCAGTGGGATTCTGTGCACCTGGCTTCTGCTCTCAGGGACACCCGGGGAGGGTGTCGGGGGAGACAGGAGTCTGCAGTCTGGAAGGAGAGACCGGAGCAGTGGGGAGAGCTGGGCCCCGCTGAGACCCAGGGCAGCACTGTGCTCGGCAGCCCCTGTGCCCACTCCCCCGTGGGGCGTCCTGGCCGAGGGGGCAGTGGCAGTGATGGTGGGGTCAAAGCACCGAGCAGCTCCCACTCTGGGTCCCTCTGACTGGAAGGAAGTCGCCTTCAGTGCACAGCCTTGGGAAGTGGAAACGCCTGGACTTGAATCTGGCTTCACTGCCTTCTGCTTGTGGACTTTGGGGCAGATTAACCTTTGTAAGCCTCAGTTTCTTCAACTGTAGAGTGGGTGGCGTGAAGATTACATGCGGTAACGTGTGTAATATAGATACACACCTACAGTACAGTGACTACCTGGCCCCTGAATGGGAAGAGGATGTGATGATGATAATGGTGTTATTATTAATTCCCGAGAACAGCAAAAAGAAGCAAAGGGTTCCCTTTAACTGTTCAACAAATATTTATTGTCAGGTGCTGTTCTAAGGACTGGGGGCTGTCCTAGGCTGTAAAGGTTCTCCATGCCTCACGTGGTGAGGGAGCTTCTGAAAACAGGACTGGAGTGCTCGCTGACCAGCCCCCCAGAGCCTGGGAACCCAGTTGTCTGCATCCCGTGGAGTCTGCCAGTTCCTCTTGACCACATGGGCCCTCTCCCTAAATCCCATCTCGGTCCAGTACTTGGCCTCCTTAGCCATCTTCCCTATAGGAGGCCTGAGCCTCAGCTCCTGGCTCCAGACCTTCTCTCCCCTGACTCTCCCCCCTCCTGGCTGAATCCCCCGCGCAGCGTGTGGTCAGCGTGTAGATGTAGGTGTCATCCAGACTTGGGGCCATTCTGTGGGATTCACAGCCCTGCCCTTTAAACTGGAGCTTTCCCTCCCTGCGCCACCCCAGGCCTAGGAGTTGAGAGAGTCAGTGCCAGAGCGAGTGCTGCCGAAGAATGACCCGTCCTAACGAACCGTCTGTCTTGCCCCGTGGCCCTTAGGATTACATGCAGAACGTCCACGGCAAGGAGATCGACCTGCTGCGGACAACAGTGAAAGTGCCAGGGAAGCGCCTGCCCCGAGCCACGCCAGCCACAGCCCCCGGCACCAGCCCCCGGGCCAACGGGCTGGCCTTGGATCGGAGTAACACGCAGCTGGGTGGGGGCACAGGTGAGGTGGCTGCTGGGGTGGGGGGCGTGTGGAGAGCATTGCTTCCTTTTCGGGAAGAGTGGGGAGTGCTGCGACGGTGCCTGGGGAAGGCGTTTAGGGGCTTTGCCTTCAGTGGAGTCCTGTGAGCTCCAGACATGCTTGCCACCCAGCACTGGAGCAGCTTAGCCAAAGGCATTGCCAAATCCCTGTGGAGTTAGAGATAGTAGCCGATGGACAGTCCTGCAGATGATATAGAGGTCAGAATGGGGCCAGAAGCCTCATGCTGACCGGTGGCTTCAGTGGTCCTGGGACTGTCTTTCAAGGCAGGTGATGGTTTGGGCAGGACCTTGGGCACCCATAGCCCGAATCTCAGCCCTGCTTGCCATGTGGGGAGGGAGGGGCTGGAAGGGGACAGAGCTGCTGCCTGGGGCCCACCTGGCAGATGTCGTCCTGTCTTCAGTGAGAGGTGGGGTCTTTGCTCAGAGAGGACTGAGTGTAGAGACAAGCTGGAGGCCCAGCAGCCTCTGCCGCGTGGCCAACGGTCTGGAAAGAAGAGATAGAGCCTGAGAGGGCCTGAGCTTGAGGCGAGGCAGCTCTTCCTTGGCCAGTTCTTCCCTTTGCAGAGGACACTGTGGGCTCAGGTGAAGGTGCTGTGCTCCTCCCCAGGCCTCTTCGGCTCTAAGCCACATTGCTCTTTGGAGGGCTCTCCCTCCCAGGCCCAGTCCCCTCGCCCCAGGTCTACTTGGCTTCTGGACCCTTCCTCTCAAGACCTAAGTCTTGGTGTTGTTCTAGATAATTGGATCTCGTTTTTCCCTGGCCCAGAAACAGCTGCTCAGACACTGTCCTGCCCTCCTAGGTGCTTGTCACATTCAGTGGACAGGGGGCTGGGGTACTTAGTCCCTAGAATGGATGGGATAGACCCCAAAAAATTGCCCCATTCAAAATGCTGATAGGGCCGCTCACTGAGAAAGTCGGGACTAGGGAAGGTAGGCGGGACGACGGCCTCCTGAGTGGGCACCTGCCCTGGGGCTTGTGCTCGGCCTGGAGGCACTGGGAGAGGCCAGGGGGCACTGACATCCGCCAAGTGAGGTGAGCCAGGTGCAGGCCCCGCTTCCAACTCTGCAGCTGAGATCATCATCCCCGTTTTACGGATGAGGAAACAAGGGCTCAGAGAGGTTAAGTAACTTGTCTGTAAAATCCCACAGTAAGCAATAGAGCTGGGGTTTGAATCTGTGTTCCTGACTTGAAAAGCTGTGTTTGTCCTCTTCCATCCTGAGCTGAGAAAGAAGCCCCTGAGTTGTGCAGAGGGAGCCCCAGTGGACGGGGAAGGAAGGGAGCTAAGCAAGAAAGACAACCACCATCAGGTCGGGAGCCTCCGGTGAGGGTGCGCCAGGGGAGGATCCCGCTCGATGGCAAAGATGGGAGGCCACGCGCAGCCCCCGGTGCTGTGCCCAGAGAGTGAGTCAGGGCTGCTGGGAAAGCCCTGGCATGTAGGGGAGGGGGCTGGAGGTCAGCCAGGGCCCCAAGAGCTTTCCCAGAGCTGCTTGGGGAGAGTGAGTGTCAGTTCCTGGCCTGGCTCAGGGTTTCCCACGTCATACTGGAGGAGGAGGAAGTGTAAGTGCCCCAAAAGGGAACCTTTCCTTGAAGCAGGAAGCAAGAGAAGCTGGGCTGTTACCCCAAAGAAGGAAACAATGAGACCCTCTGCCCAGTCACATTCCTGGGCCCTGATAGCTTCACCTGGGGAGCAGAAGTGGCGCCTGGAGAAGGGAGACGCATGCATCACACTCACCCGCATCATTACCAGCGCCCACAGACCCTCGCTGACATTCCCAGAACATATGGACCAGCATTTATCCAAGCCTGCGTCCCCTCGCTGCACGCTGACACCGACCTCATGCACACTCACACATGTCTCCCGCTCACCGGGCGATGTTAACATCTCATTATCTTTGTTACTGTAATTACATTATCCGCTGCTTTATGCAGAATTATCCTCCGAGGACTAATTGATGGCTCCATGTTTAATTCATTAATCATTAGCATCAAATTCGACAATTACAGTGCACACTGATTGTGGGATTGCAGGCGTAATGAGGGGAGAATTAACAAAGAAAAGGGAGAGTACTTTTTCTTCCCTGGGGTTTTGGGTTGGGGGCTTGGGGAGGAAGGTGGGCCTGTGATCTTTGGGTTGGAGACTGGGGAGGCGGGAATAAGATTTGGAACCCAGGAGGGGATGGGAGCAGGAGAGGGGAGAGCAAGGTGTCTGAGAAGTTAGGAACTGAGCTGTTCCCCTGGAAGGTTTCCTGACCATGAAAAAGGCTGTTTGCAGAGACCTGAAGCCAGAGCAGGAAGGGGCAGGATTCTGAAGAGGAAGGTCAGCATGTTGCCTCAAGGGGACAGGAAACAGCGTAGACTGGCTGCAGTCTCAGCCCACACGTCTAAGCACCTATTGTGTGCCTGGTCCTGCCTTGGAATACAATAGAAACACAAAACTTGAAGACCTTTCAGTGTCATACTGTCCCCAGAGGATTAGGGAGGTCTGGTCTGTTCCATTTCCTTCTGGCTTCAGCTCAGAGCTTCCCACCCCTAGGCTTCCAAAAACTCAACCCGTGTGCTCGCAGGGCTGGTTTGAGGCCTTGTGTTTGCTGCTTGCTCTCTCCAGCTTTTTCCAGCTTGCAGGCCCATCTCTGCTTCCTTACTAACCTCCAGCACCTACCTAGCCATGTCCGCACTGCTTTGGGGCAAACACCTCGGGTGTGGCCTACTCATCCTGAGACCTCCCACGGCCATTGCCTTCTGGGCTTAGGTGGACTGAGGTGAGAGGGCAGTGTAGGCCCTTTGAGTGTTATGTGCTCTGAGGTCCCGTGACTGTTCCCACAGTCTCTCCACTAGTGACTGGGTGCCTAGGGAGAAGGCAGGGAATTCTGAGGTCACTCATGGTTCTCCCTGCCCAGCCTTGGCACTCCTGGAGCCTTCGGTTCCCCTCGGCTCTGCCGTTCTTCCCTGATGGGAAACGAAAGATTAATTTTCTCCAGCCCAACAGGATAATTACTAATACTAATTAGACATAATTACTTGAATTTGATACACTTATTTCTCATCAGAATGGCAGCAAAGCTGAGGCAAAGCAAATAGCATATGTGGACTAGAATGTAGGGTGCAGGTCCCTGACCAGGAGAGAGGAGGCTGGGGATAATGGCTGGATGAGGGGCTTTGCAGTGATGGGGGCCTCGATACCACTCCCCCCCCCCTCCACTTTTGGGTCCCAGGGAGGGGACAGATGTGCATACCTTCTTGTGTATGGAGAGAGGAGGGGCATGAGGTCTGAGACTGGCTGCTTCCTAAGGCATGGAGAGCCTGTGTGATGCCCCTGGTTCTCCAATAAGCCTGGCCCCGTACCTGGACCCAAGACCCCTTAATTTCCGGTCAGCTTCCTGTTGGAATTTCTCAAGCTGTGCCTACAGTCCTGTTTCCAGGAAAGCCTATGTGCACCCCTCCCCTGACTTCTCCTCCTAGTCTGACCCTTCCCCTCTCCAGGCGCCCCCCACTCGGCCAGCAGTCCTGCCTGGGCTGGCCTGCGTCCCGAGGGGCTGCACCAGCGCTCCTGCTCCGTTTCCAGTGCCGACCAGTGGAGTGAGGCTGCTGCCCTGCCCCCAGGTATGCAGGACCCCATGAAGGGACAGAGGAAGGCAGCATGGGCCTGGGTGGCTGTGATTGGATGGTGCCCAGGCAAGGGGAGGGGCCCTATGGAGCCCTCGGGGCTGTCACAGGGGCTCTTACCCTTCTCTGGCCTCCTCATGAGCTTCCTGCCCCCAGGTAGAGCCCTGCCTCTGCCGCTTCTCTGGCAGCCCAGCCACTGTCCCCAGGCAGCCCTGGTGGCAGCTCTGCATCCCCATCAGCCCCCTGCGCAGCCAGCTCATCAGCCTCACTGCAGGGGGACAGGGAAGCAGGGCTGAGTAGGGGAGTCCAAGGCAGGAGAGGGGGTCCCTGCAGACAGGATCCAGGGAGTTGTCCAGAAAGGTAGTGTCCTCACCCCTGCCTGCTGTCTCCTCAGATAGGTTGAGGCCCCACCCTGCCTAAAACCACCACCTTCTCCTGTCCCACCCTCCTCTTTCCTTGGCTCTTCATTTTATTCCCTCTGTCCATTTTTGTCTATTGCATTTCAACTTTTTCTCCCCTGCACACACATTCATTCTCTCTCTCTCTCTCTCTCTCTCTCTCTCTCTCTCTCTCTGCCCTTCTCTCTCCTTACTCTCACCTGTATCCTAATCCTTTGGACACAGATCCTGGGAGCAGTTCTCATGGCTAAAAGGAAAATGGGTGCAGCTCTGCCCTCCGTTACTGAGGGTGTAAAAGGGAGGAGACCCCAGGGTCCAGGTTTGCCTCTCCCACTGCCCCTCCTCCCCACACACTGGGCAGTAGTGCCCCTGCACATTAACTACCCAGGAAAGTGCCGCCCCCAGTCTGAGCTCTGACCCAGGCACGCACTGGGTATTCACAGCACAAGGAATCAAGTCCAACCTCCCTGGGGGAGTGAGTGTGCAGGGCCTGAGAAGGGGAGCTAGGGCCCTTCCTGGGCCCCCTTCCCCAAGGCCTATCCTGGCCTTGGTGGGGCCCCTCTGTTGAGTCTGGAAGGCAGGGAGGGAGGGAGGGAGGGAGCATGTCTACCTCTAATGAAGTTTGACATTTAGTGGTGAGCGCTGGGCGGGGTATGGGAGATGGGAGCTTGATTAGCGCGCTCTAATTGACAGTAATTAGGCAGCTCCCTGATTGTTTCTAATTCTGCTATTAATTGTCAGGAGCAGGGAGTGTGATTGAGGATAAATTTGGTGCGGAGCTGCTGGGGCTTCAGCTCCCTATGAGTTCCCTAGGCCGCCTTCCACCCCTCCAGGCTGCAGAAGCCAACATTTCTGCCTCGCCTTTATTCTGTTCTGCCTGACTTTCCTACACTCTCCTCTCCCTACCTTCTCCTCCACCGAGGCTGGCAGGCTGCTCTCCCAGGGTGGCCCAGCTGCACTTCAGGGTGGCTCTCTTAGGTGCACTAGACAGGACTTATGCTCAACCCCCACCCTCCCCTCTGCCCACACTTCTCCAATTCTCCCCTCCCCAGCCAGTGGCCCAGCTGAGGTGCTCGGTTCCAGCCCCAAGCTGGAGCCTCCCCCATCTCCCCACTCCAACCGGAAGAAGCACCGGAGGAAAAAGAGCACCGGGACCCCCCGACCAGACGGCCCCAGCAGTGCTGCCGAAGGTTAGGGGGACCCAGAGGGATACCGGGGCACAAGAGGTGGGCAGTGGGACTTGGGGATAGTACTCTAAAAGTATTAGGTTAAGCACTTTTAATAATCCTCAGTAAAAGTAGTTCCACACCTTTTGGCAATCTAGACCTGGTGTCTTAGCTCTTTTCTTCTGCCTAACTTAACCCTTTCTGTGAAAATGTGAGCTTGCTTCTCTTATTCTTGTAGAAGGTAAAAGATCACAGGCGGCTACCCCAATAGCTCTTCCAAGACTTGTGGAAAAGCAGGACCTGTTTTCTGTGTCTCTTGTATCACCCATTGAGTTTAATGAGTGCTGGGCACATAATAGGTGCTTAATACATGTGTACCGATGGGCTGAGCCTCTCCTCAGTCAGCTGTAGGCTAAAGGATTCCAGCTCCTTGTTTTTCCATAGGCCCTCTCACATAATCCTTTATCCGCCATTGCCCCACTTCTCTGATTTCCCCTAAAGTATCTTCAAAATATCCCTCTGACCAGTGGTTGGAGTCTCCCTCTGACATTGACACCTAGTTTGTCATTTCTGTTCTGATTGTCAGGGTAGGGGTGTGGGTATGTGGGTGGAGACCACCTCCGTGGGAAAGAGCTACCTTTCCCAGCCACCCTGCGATGTAGTGATTCTTAGTGTTCGTGGCACACGGTCCACCTGTCCCAGGGAACTGAGCCCCAAGTGATGGCGATGATGTAATTCAGAGGCTGTGTTAAGAGCAAGGTGAGGTGGAATTGTGAACGTAGGGAGAGAAAAGGTGTCAGTTTTCTTTTTCTAGGAAGGCAGTTCTGTTAAGGGTGCCCTTAGAGCAGGAGTCCAGCAGGATGACTTCCAGGGGATGTTAGTGTCCTTGAGGTGAGAGGCTGCCCTGGGTGGAACACGTGGCTCAGGCCTTTGCCAGGGGCTCAGCCTTGGGCCTCCAACAGGTACCTGAGCTGTCTCTCCAGCTCCCACAATACATTCACACTGCTTGTTAGGAACTGTTCACGCATGGGGCAGTGACCATTGGGAATGAGATTCATGTGGCTGTCTTCTGGGGGAGAACTTGGAACAGCTGGACCACATTGCTTGGGGTCACAGTCCAGCCTACAGTACTGTCACTGCAGATGTCCTTCGGTCCCTATCTGCTCACACATCCTAGTTTGTGGAGAAAACCTCTCCTCTCCCCATCCACTTGCCCTTCCTGCCTGTCTATGGGAGGGTAGTGGGGGAGGGGCACAGTTCCCAGGAGCCCCATGCTGACGCCGTCAGGAATATTGGGTTTAATGAGCTGCAAAATGAGGTGGCTGCAGCTGACATGTACGGATGCCCACACCAGCCTCCCCCACCCTCTCCCAGCATTGCCTCCTAGCACCCCACCTCATCCTTCTCCAGATACTCAGCGCCTCTTGTTCCAGGAAGCACCCTCTCTGATTTCCAGACCCACTGCTGGCAGTGCCAGTGATGCCGAAACCTTGCACCCCCATCTGTTTTCACTCAGGCTCTCCAAGTGGTTAGGAATGGAGAGTTGAGGCTCCACACTACTCTTGCAAGTGTCCTCCCTCCCACCTTGCAAGTTGCCCTGGAGAGCGTGGTCCTGGAGGCTGGGTGCCAGGAAAGCAGGGTGGCGAGTGGGCTTGTGGCCGTGGCCTGGTGTGCCTGCCAAGGCACCTACTGTGATGGTGGTAAATGTTCCATCCCCCACAGACGTGGAGGAGTCCTTTGAATTTGTGGTGGTGTCCCTCACCGGGCAGACGTGGCACTTCGAGGCCTCGACAGCAGAGGAGCGGGAGCTGTGGGTACAGAGCGTGCAGGCCCAGATCCTCGCCAGCCTGCAGGGCTGCCGCAGCGCCAAGGACAAGGTTGGCATGGAAGCCCGAGTGGGGTGGGACCCAAAGGTGGCCTCATGATTGACCAGCCACCCCTTGTCTCCCACTGTGGCAGACTCGACTGGGGAACCAGAATACAGCTCTGGCTGTGCAGGCCGTCCGCACTGTTCGTGGCAACAGCTTCTGTATCGACTGCGACGCCCCCAGTGAGTGGCAGGGCCAGGGTTAGCAGGGCTGGGCTTGGGGGCGGCTTAGAGAAAGCTCCATGGGCTCCACAGAGAAAACGACAAGAGGCTTCCAGTAGGCCCAGGAGGAGGGCAGGGAGGAAGAGGACTCTGGGGGGTCTTACTGGTTGCGCTGGGGCTTCACTGTGCTTCTTCTCCTTACCTAGATCCAGACTGGGCCAGCCTGAACCTGGGCGCCCTGATGTGTATCGAGTGCTCAGGGACCCACCGACACCTTGGGGCTCACTTGTCTCGGGTCCGTTCCCTTGACCTCGATGACTGGCCACCTGAGTTGCTGGCTGTCATGACTGCCATGGGCAATGCCCTGGCCAATAGCGTCTGGGAGGGGGCTCTGGATGGCTATGCAAAGCCAGGGCCTGACGCCTGCAGGTAAATGGATGGGACCCTGAAACTGGCCAAGAAGGGAGGGGCCGTCAGTGTTCCTGTATGGGGAAGATTGAAGATGGTGCCAAGAGTCTGTGACAGTGCTAGAAGGGTTAAAACTGGCCGTTGCTGTGCTTGGCAGTTGGCCCCTTGGGGTTCCCCTCCTCCTCCCTCCCTGTCACTCACAACAAGAGGCCCTTTCTGAGTTGTTATCAGCTGGTCAGGGGGCCAGCAGGAGGTGCATGCGCAGGGCCCTATCTGCACTGTGGTGCAAAGGCCCAGCCTGCGCTCTGAGATGGGGAGAATGGGTAGTAGATAGGATAGTGGTGGGCCCCCAGCACAGTCTCCTATCCCCTTTATTCTAGCAGGACCAGATAAGCTGCCACACGAGCCTGCCTGGAATCTTCCTGCCCTTCCGGCCCTCCACATCACTGCTGTCCCCAGGGCCTCCCTTCAGCCTTCCTTCCTTTCTTCTTCCACACCCTTTGCATTGCCCACTGCCTCTCTGTATGCCCTTGATCTCTTAGGTTTCTCTTTTCTCTACCCTGACACCTTCTCCCACTATTTTTCCCTTATTCTCCTTTTGGGTGTTTATGTGATTTCCTGACCACTCTCCCTGGCCCTGCCCTTCCTCACTCATGCCTTGATGGGCCCGTGTTTGCAGAGAGGAGAAGGAGCGCTGGATCCGGGCCAAGTACGAACAGAAGCTCTTCCTGGCCCCACTGCCGAGCTCAGATGTGCCACTGGGGCAGCAGCTGCTCCGGGCCGTGGTGGAGGACGACCTGCGGCTGTTGGTGATGCTTCTGGCACATGGGTCCAAGGAGGAGGTGAACGAGACTTACGGGGATGGGGACGGGCGGACGGCTCTGCATCTCTCCAGTGCCATGGCCAATGTTGTCTTCACACAGCTGCTCATCTGGGTGAGTCCTGGGCTTCCTCCTTGCCTTCCGAGTCCCACCCTTGCAGGCTCCTCTGACCTGCCCTGACATCCTTTTTACCCCAGACCTTTGAAAGCCACCTCTCCTTTTCCTCCCCAAGAACCTATCTTCCCTGCCATGTCACACCAACTGAAAATATGCTTCCTTCTGCAGTATGGGGTGGACGTGAGGAGTCGGGATGCCCGGGGCTTGACTCCACTGGCCTATGCTCGCCGGGCTGGAAGCCAGGAGTGTGCAGACATTTTGATCCAGCATGGCTGCCCTGGGGAGGGCTGTGGCTTAACACCTACCCCCAACAGAGAGCCTGCCAATGGCACCAACACCTCTGCTGAGCTGCACCGAAGCCCTAGCCTCCTTTAAGGCCCAGGAAGAGGGCAGTGGTCAGAAGGACTCCATACCCTGGGTACCTCCTCCCAATAGGCACTGGGGAAAACAAATACAGAGACTGAGAAGTAGAGACATGCAGAAAGGAAGAAGGAGACAAACAGCTAAATGGGGGAGACAGATCAGAGGAGACGTCTGGGATTTGAGCTGCAGCAGAGAGGGTGTGGAGGTATTTAGCCTTCTGCCCTACGGTGCCATTGAGAAGGGACAGGACCCTTTGGAGGTACCTGTAAGGAGAGGGGAGCAGGACCTCTCCCTCCTCCAGATTGCTACCCTCCAGTGCCAGCCCCCTGCGAACTTCATCTCAAAGTGGAGCCTGGATAGAGCACAGGTTGGGGGTGCTGGATGAAATACAAGGGGGTGATCTGTGAGTCCCATGTAAATTTGTACATTCAAATATTTATGTTTGTGTACATATTTGGTGTGAGTGTATGATGAGCCAATAAACCAGACTGTGTGGTCTTGTTTCCCCCTTTTGTATCTCTACCCTTCTCCAAATGCCCTCACCTCTACCTCTTTGCCCCATCTTCTCATGCTTGCTCTCGGTACTCTAGGATTGTCTTCCCTGAGCCTTCCATGAACATCGCTTTCAGCCCTCTTTTGCCGCAGGTGTAGTTGAGTTTGTCAACAGCACTGGCAGTGAGTCTGGACGAGGTGATACGGAGCTCTGGAAGCTTCCTGCTGCATTCTCTACTCACCACCCCCCACCCCCCAATTTTCCCAGTTAGTCTTATTTTCATCAACATTCTATCCAGTAACCTGCTGCCATGACTTGTACTGGCCAAAGTTCACCCAAAGAGAGGGTATAAGCATTGTCCCCCTTTCTAAGAATATGGGAACTAGCCCACACAGGGAAGGAAACGAGTCAATGCACAGGAGAGCTCTGAGGATGCCGCAGGAGGAGTGGCTTGGTGCTCACTAGGGCAGCACTTTTCTCTGCACGGATGCCTAGCCTTTGCTTTTAGGAAAGGGGAGGTGATAGGTCACTGATGGCAGAAGAGTTACCTTGAGTCCCACCATCTTGCCAGGCTGGGGCAGAATTCAGAGCTTCTGCTTTTCCCTCTCTCCCTTAGTTATGTTAGAAAGAAGATCTAGGGAAAACCCTCCTGTACCTGTTCTCGAAGGGTAAAAACTTGCTAAGTTAGGGTCTGTAACTTTGTCCACTAACGCTGTTCCTTAATTTGCTCATAGAATTCCAACCCCAAGGCCTCATTCCTATCTCTGTAGCTTCCCCCACAGTACATACCCTTCCAGAACCATCACAGATTCTTTTCTGCCTCCACTTTGCCGTGGGCCTTCCCAACCAATCTCATTTTATAACAAGAGGATTGGTATCCCAAACTTCATAAATGCTGTGATTGGGAGGAGAAACCACAATTAACGCCATAAGAAATAACTAGAAATGTGTCTTTTACTCTATGCCCTCATGTCTGGGATACTAAATGGTGGCAGATGCACTTAGTTGCTGTGTCCTCTACATAGATAAAGATTAATGAGCTCACAGGTGATGAGGGT